AGTAAGGACACCCCATTCCAGGTGGACAAGCCACACTAAATATTTATTATTTGCACTGCTGCAGCACATAAAGGCCTCAAGCACAATCGTAAAATATTTACAGCTTCTAATAATGGAAAAGAATAATAAATCAGTAAGGTTAGTAAGAGGCATCTGATTTAGTCCTTATTGCAGGTTGCAAATCAACCTGACGCATGCATCCTGCAAAACCCTGCAATGCAAACAGCCAAGCAACCACGGAGAAATACAAATGCGTTCTATGGCCAGGAAAGTTCTAGTTATTCTCAATGAACGGGATCCGGATCAGTTTCTTGTGGCCTCTCAACCTAAGCCATTCTGCTTATTTTAGAAAGGGCAGCCCCTTGGAGGTCAAGTTTTCACCACGTCATTAAACCAACTAAACAGATTCCAGCAACCCGGACGGGTCAGAAGGAGAGGAAGGATCATGAAATCTAATCAGCAACCCCCGTATCCAAGTTGTTCTCAGTTACAGGCTCTCTCTTCAGTTTCTTTCATCCTCTCCCTCAATATTTTCAACTCTCTTATTTTACGGCTGTAGTTAAAGTTTATGTGTACTTTAATTATGAAGTGATCTAACCGCCTTTTGCCAAAGTGCCTGATGTTCTCGTCTAAACAGTTTACCGGGTCACAGGGCAAGTCATCATAAAATAACGATCAAATCATCGGCGAGATTAAGCTTCTACCGTCTAAACTGCTACGCATAAACATAATTCCCCTGCACAAACAGGTTGGCCGCACTTCTATTAACACTTTAAAGATCACGTTTATAAACAACGATCCATTAAAAAGAAATACCTTCCCTCCTCCCTCTCCCCCCTCCCGCAGCAAACGCCTGATTTCACCCACGATGCCTTCGCAGTTTTCCCAAGCATGCCGTTGGGTTGTTTGGTTTTTTTTTTTAAAGTAAAAAGAGCGTGAAGTCCCGGACACCGCCACGCACTACCAGCTTCCCACCTGCTCCAACGCAAGCCCTACAAAACCCAGCCCCGAGGTCAAAGGCTACCTGGGTTCCTCGGCGTCCCCGGCGCGGACACCGCCGAGGCCTATGGAAGGCGA